TCTTCGTCGTCGCCAAGGCTGCTAGATCTCCCTACCATCCTTACTGAGAAATGAAAAAGAAGAATGCGATGGAATAGAGAGGGCGAGGACCAGTGTGTAGCCCTCACTTCTGTCACTCACCTTCCTATAGCCATGATCTCCTCGTCTCTGCTTCCCCAGTGTCATTGCCATTCTCATCAGTGCCTCTCTGCTATTGTCATGGTCACCAGATCTCCCCACCATCTTCAGTGTTTAGCTCCTCATTAGTAAAGACGTAGACTGAAGAAGAGACCAATGAAGAAAATATGAGTGAGGCGGTTTGAAAAAGAAATTGACGGTTGAAGGCTGGGAAAGAGGATATGGGGGAGTTGAGAAGTGAGCCGTATGAGAAAGAGAGAATGTGTGATGCCGAAGAAATAGAAAGGACAAGACAGTGTTGACAGGATTCACAAATGGGGAAGATTCAAATTTCAAAATATAAGAAATGAGGCGGGATTTGAAATTCAAAATATAGTCTTTGCACGCAACCATTTATATGAGCCACATGACACAGAGCCCGATAGGCTATTATTAAGCCAAAAATTCCTTATGAACAGTAAAATGAGTCTGAAGCCAAAAAATAAGCCATTTGAGCCGTGGCTTGAGTGGAATAGTATTAATAGATATATTGATTCTGCAACTATCCAAGTTTAACATTTTTACGTTTTCAGTTAATAAAATCGTGTCAACTCGCTCTTAAAATCGTGTTAAATTTTTAGATTTGATTATATTTAATAACTTTATATATGAATCTTATAAAAATTTCTTTATTGAATGTGATAAATTATAAATATGTATGGATATAATTTCAATTATTTAAATTTAAAATATATTTAAATAAAATTGTTTTTCTTTTTTATATATTAATGATTTAATTATATATTTTTAATACTAATTTATTAATAAAAATAAACTCTTATAAATTCATAATTTGAGTTTACGATATGAATTTATATATTATTATAACTTTATTTAAAGACGAGCTATAGTTATCCTCCTTTTCCTTTGGCAGTGAATCCGCCGCTTTCACCGAATGATGTGTGGAGACACGTGGCACAATTAGATCCATACGATTAAGTCAATGGCGCAAGTGCAAAGCAAAGTTGGTGACAAATTAGGGAAACAGAGAATTCACCCAGTACTGTTCCAGGCTTGTTTCAGAGATCCGTCGGTGTACGTGTAATCTGGAATTTTTTTTTGCATTAAATATATTCCTTTTTGCAATTTAGATTAAAAGAATACAGAGGGTTAATTAACGCATGGGATTGGGTGGCGGGGTCCATCAATTCTTAACCTCACCAAAGGCAAACAAAACTGAAAAGCATTGGTCGTACTTTCTCAACTTTTAATTGGCTCTAGTCCTCTGCCACTTGGCACTTGACTTAGTCAATCATAGTGGGCAGTTCTTTAATCTGCCTTCAGTTTGATTATATATCTTCTTTCCCATCATCGTCTTCCTCAGATTTTCCCACCGCCATTATCAGTCTGGAAAAGAATTAAAACTTGTGAACCCAGAAGCAAAAAGATGGCCAGTGAAAACCAGAAACACCAACTCCACATATTCTTCTTCCCTTTCCTCGCTCAGGGCCACATGATACCCACTGTTGATATGGCTAAGATTTTCGCTAGCAGAGGCATCAGAGCCACCATTATCGCTACCCCTTTCAACCTTCCACTCATCTCCAGATCCATACAAGAATCCGTCGCTCTTGGCCTCCCCATCAACCTCGTACCCATCAAATTCTCATGCCAAGAACTTGGCTTGCCAGAAGGCTGTGAAAATGCCGATGCGATCTCATCCCCATCACTGTTTCATATCTACTTCAAAGCAACGACGATGCTTCAAGAGCCTCTTGAGCAGCTCTTGCAAGAACACCACCCAGATTGCCTCGTTGCCGGTTCGTTCTTCCCGTGGGCCACTGATTCTGCAGCCAAATTTGGGATTCCGAGGATTGTGTTTCATGGGACCGGGGTTTTCCCTTTGTGTGTTATGGAATCTATAAGCCGCCACCAACCTTACAAGGATGTTGCGTCAGATTCAGACCCGTTTGTGATTCCTAATCTGCCAGGAATCGAGATTCAAATGACAAGGATGGCTTTGTCTACTTACAGCATCACCGATGAAGATACTTTCTTTACGAGATTGTTTAAAGCCGCAAAGGAATCAGAGGTAAAGAGCTTCGGAGTGGTGGTGAATAGCTTCTACAAACTGGAGGGGATATATGCAGACCATTATAAGAAAGCACTTGGAAGAAAAGCATGGCATATAGGCCCTCTTTCTCTCTGCAACAGAGACAACAAAGAAAAATCATACAGAGGAAAGCAAGCTTCCATGGATGCACAGGACTGCTTGAAGTGGCTCGACTCCAAGAAACCCCACTCAGTTCTCTACATCTGCTTCGGAAGTAGATCAGACTTCACCGAAAATCAGCTCAGAGAAATAGCCTTGTGTCTAGAAGCTTCTGGACAGAATTTCATTTGGGTTGTGAGGGAAAGCAAGAAGGACAAAGAAGAAGAAGGAGATAGAGATCTAGATCAAGATCAAGGGTGGCTCCCAGAAGGATTCGAGAAGAGAATGGAAGGCAAGGGGCTGATCATCAGAGGGTGGGCCCCACAAGTGTTGATTCTGGATCATGAATCCACGGGTGGGTTCGTGACGCACTGCGGGTGGAATTCAACACTGGAAGGAGTGAGCGCAGGAGTACCAATGGTGACGTGGCCTGTGTCTGCAGAACAATTTTACAATGAGAAGTTAATCACAGAAGTGCTGAGGATTGGGGTGGCAGTGGGTGTTAAGAAATGGGTTCCTCTGGTAGGGGATTACATAGAGAAAGAGGCGATTGTGAAGGCAGTGAAAGCGATAATGGAAGGAGAAGAAGCAGAGGAAATGAGAAACAGAGCGAAGAAACTTGCGGGGATGGCGAGGGAGGCAGTGGAGGAAGGAGGATCTTCTCACTCTGACTTGAATTCTCTCATCGAAGAGCTTGCTGATCTCTCAAAATGAACGACACTGCGTTTTGTCTTTCGATTTGCACCTAATAATGGAGTTCCTCTTAGGCCTTGACTTGCTGTACTTTTAATGATATAATTAGGGCACTGTGAAAAATGTTTCTCAGATATATTTTTTCATAAACCCAAATAAACACCTCTACATATTTGTTTCATATATTGTAAAAATATTTTTAAAATCATAATTTTGATTTCATCCAAATACCTAGTAAATCTTTTAATTCTACTAATAAGCTTTAGATCTAATGGGATGGACAAATAGATATTATTGTGAAGAATCAAAATTTAAATCTTTATTAATAAGAATATTAGGAAAGATATCTACATTTAATTGGTAACAATGCTTGAATAGTATATTGACTTCCTGTGTAGAAAAAATTTAAATCATTTATTTTATTCTTAATATCTCCGTAAAATCCTGGGAAGGTCTTGCATGTCTACCTGATTTTCGTGAGGTGGAATTTAAGAAAACATGAATGAGGTTGGCCACGAAATAGTATCCCCTTTCGTGGAACTTGGAAATTTTCATGAAATCTGCTATAAGGAGACACCTTAAGGGGTGGGTAAGTCCTGGCACGATCCCAGTAAGATTGGAGCAAGTGCAGACAAATCTTGTCACGGTCCGGGCATGATTGGCACAAGTCTGGGCTATTTGATTTCATTAATCCATATAAATGCACCGATGATTTCTTGAAAAATTCAGCTCAACATTACCCTCACTGAAGCCAATATTATCGTCATTTTTACAAACTTTCTTCCATTATTCATGTAAAAATAAAAATAAAAAATTCTTCGAACTTCATCGCCAATTTTAAAGTATACCTTTTATATGTTTAGGTAACAATACATTTATAGATATACGCATAAAATTCAATTTTATTAACATTACATCAAACTATACTCAAGATGACTTATTAACAATGTGCAACACACGCACGAGAGAAAAAAAGGGCCCAGGTAAATCGGTACTAGAAAATTTTTCTAGTAGTTAATATAGAACTATAGAACTATAAAAAAGAGATTACCAACTGCTTGTTGGATACAATTACCGTTAATTTGAGCGAGAACAAAATTAGAAACAAAAAATTAAAAAGAAAAACTATCAAAACTGTTTACTATATTTAAAAGTTTTCTTTTATAATATTCTCTGGCTCGTTTTTCTTCATCCAATCTGGCCTTAGAATCTGAAACAATCAGTTCCCTAATCAAATCCGACATTAAGTAGTCGAGAAATATGATTTTGTCCTGATCTTTTTGGTCGCTGACACTTTTGTTCTTGTCTCATCTGATGACTGATGGTAGTCTTTTTTAACCTAGCTGACAGGGTCGCTCAAAAAATAAACAGAGGCGTGCCTATTTGAAAAGCCATCCATAGCCGAACCTATAATAAAGCAATTGAACGCCGGGACCACATAACCCAACCCAAGATTGTAAACAATAATTTTAACATTAATTACTACTTTCAATCTTAATTATAAGATCTAATTTAACTTTTAATTTGATTTTAAAATATTTATAATAAATATATGTTGTCTTTTCTAAAATATCATTACTAATCAAGTGTATTGGTTAGAACTATTATTATTAGAAAGACTATCTTAAAAAATATATAAATATGAGATAAAATGAATTAAAATATTATATTTAGAATAAAATAAAAATTAAATTAGATTTTATATTAAATATCCGAAATAATATTATTTAATCAAATAAAATTGTTCTGGGCAAAAAGGAAAATCTAGAATTAGAAATGTCCAAGAGTATATTCACGTTCATTCTCGTGCGGGCCATACTAGGGCCGCAAAAGTCAAAGCTTGACATTGACCATGCCAAGATGGTGGTCCCGCTAACCCCCCTCCCTTGTCAGTTAATTAGTCCGAGCAACGACTTTGACCCACCTATCTATCTGATGCACGCAATTTCCTAGAGGTTCTATTCATATCTTCTCATCATCGTCTTTCTCTTCAGAAATTCCCAGAACCCTAAAGTCTCAAACATCAAAACTTGCTCTCCCAGAAAGCAACACATGGCTAGTGAAGGCCAGAATCACCGACTCCACATATTCTTCTTCCCCTTCCCTGCTCATGGCCACATGATCCCCACTGTTGATATGGCTAAACTTTTTGCTGGCAGAGGCGTCAGAGCCACCATCGTCACCACCCCTCTCAACCTTCCTCTCATTTCCAGATCAATACAAGAATCCATAGCACTTGGCCTTGCCATCAATCTCGTATCCATCAAATTCCCATGTGCAGAAGCTGGTTTACCAGAAGGCTGCGAAAACGCTGACGCTGTCTCTTCCTATTCGATGGTGCCGGCCTTCTTCGAAGCAACGACGATGCTCCAAGAGCCTCTTGAGCAGCTCCTGCGAGAACACCACCCAGATTGCCTCATTGCTGGTTCCTTCTTCCCGTGGGCCACTGATTCTGCAACCAAATTTGGGATTCCCAGGATTGTGTTTCATGGGACTGGGTTTTTCCCTTTATGTGTGAGTGAATCTATAACAGCCCACCAACCTTACAAGGATGTTGTGTCTGATTCAGAGCCGTTTGTGATTCCTAACCTCCCAGGAGTCGAGATTCAAATGACAAGAAAGATTTTGCCTAGTTTCTTTATGACCGATGAAGATACTTTCCTTACGAGAATGTTTAAAGCCGCAAAGCAATCTGTGGTGAAGAGCTTCGGGGTGGTAGTGAATAGCTTCTACGAACTGGAGGGGATATACGCAGATCATTATAAGAAAGTACTTGGAAGAAAAGCATGGCATATAGGCCCCGTTTCTCTCTGCAACACAGACAACAAAGAAAAATCATACAGAGGAAAGCAAGCTTCCATGGATGCACAAGACTGCTTGAAGTGGCTCGACTCCAAGAAACCCAACTCAGTTCTTTACATCTGCTTCGGAAGTAGATCAGACTTCACCGAAAATCAGCTCAGAGAAATAGCCATGGGTCTGGAAGCTTCTGGACAGAATTTCATCTGGGTTGTAAGGAAAAGCAAGAAGGGCAACAAAGAAGAAGGAGATGGCGATCAAGATGAAGGGTGGCTCCCAGAAGGATTTGAGAAGAGGATTGAAGGTAAGGGGCTGATCATCAGAGGGTGGGCCCCACAAGTGTTGATTCTGGATCATGAAGCCACAGGTGGTTTCGTGACGCACTGCGGGTGGAATTCAACACTGGAAGGTGTGAGCGCAGGAGTACCAATGGTGACGTGGCCTGTGTCTGCAGAACAATTTTACAATGAGAAGTTAATCACAGAAGTGCTGAGGATTGGGGTGGCAGTGGGTGTTAAGAAATGGGTTCCAGTGGTAGGGGATTATATAGAGAAGGAGGCGGTTGGGAAGGCAGTGAAGGCGATAATGGAAGGAGAAGAAGCAGAGGAAATGAGAAACAGAGCGAAGAAACTTGCGAGGATGGCGAGGGAGACTGTGGAGGAAGGAGGATCTTCTCACTCTGACTTGAATTCTCTCATCGAAGAGCTTGCTGATCTCTCAAAATGAACGACGCTGCGTTTTGTCTTTCGATTTGCGTCTAATAAAGGATCCTTTGACTCTTATGGATTCCTCTGCTACCATGAGATTCATACGATCAATAATGTTCTGAGTCAATGTAGAGGTTCCTTTGTTTAAGAAGCTTAAGAAGATTTTACTATATTTTATAAAATTTTTACAGTCAACGTAGAGAAAAAATATATGAATGTATGTGTTTAAGATTTGAAAATTTTAAATAAGAGTAAATGAAATTTTTGAAGGGAAGGGGGTGTAATTTTTCATGGAGTTCATATAGAATCTTTCTCCTTTGTGGGATGCAAATGCCCTCTAATTTTCAACACATTCCCATCTTTAAATTCAAAGAACTCATACGCATCTGCATTCTTTGCCTAGTTTTTTTTTTGTCATTTTTTAAATTTCTCAACTTTACGCTGAAGCTTCACTTTCCCCTTGCAAGATCATTTTCAATTTCTCAATTTCTCAACTATACTATCGTCATTTTCATCTTTACAGACTTTTTCCACTGTTCATTAAAAAAAATTCTTCATATATAACCACCTATACCTTTAATGTTTAGATATTTCTTGTATCTGTGCGTAAAATTCAATTTTATTAACATTGCATCAAATTATACTCATGACGTCCTTTATGAAAAAAATAAATAAATCACGTAATACACTAAAAAACCTAAACAATAGTTTAATAGTTATCATCATTTTGTTCTTATCTTTTGTCGCTGGAGCTTTGTTCTTGTTTGATGTGATGAGCTGATGCATTGTTTTAAGAGAAAATTAAGCACAGGTCTCGTAAAACAAATTTTATTCATTTAAGGTCCCACAACGTAGTGGGACCTGTATGTAATTTTCTCTTGTTTTAAGGAGCTGACACAGTGGCCCAAAATTTGACGTAGAAAAACTGAAAAATGCCGACCAAAGCCGAACCCATTAAGCAATTGAACACTAGGACCATGTAAACAATAATTTCAATATTAATTATTACCTCCAAATATATTACTATAAGTGTTAGTTATTTATTTATTTTTTTAAAATAATAATTACGTGTTAAAAATCTTTAGATGAATGAAGATCATATAATAAATAAGTATTAATTTATTTGACTACAGTATAATAGTTGAGTTCAACTCCACGAGGTAAGAATTAAGGATATATAACGTTTTTTTCAGAACAAATTAAATACTCCTCCGGTCCTTAATATAAGACCCATTTAACTAATTTGATTAGATTAAGGAAGTTAGGTAAGTTAGTTAATTATAAAAAAAGTGACATATTTTTCCTAAAACACTATAATAATCTTTCTTAATACCTCATCTCCCTCTTCTACTTGATTATAGTTGAGGGAGTATTCATAGGGGTAATTTAGAGAAAATTGGTAAATATGAGAAATATATATTATATTTAGGACCAAAACCAACTCAAGAATTGAGTACTATATTAAGGACCGGAGGAGTATATTATCGGATACCCAGTAAACTGAACTTGAATGCCAAGCACGATCATCTGATCTCTTCAAGAAACCATCACTACTAGGCGACCACGAGACCTAAGTTGGTGAATCAAGTCATCCAAGTCCAGTCACGATGATCCTCCTTCTTCCATAGCCTCCCTCGCCAAGCTCGCAAGTTTCTTCGCTCTCTTTCTCATTTCTTGCGCTTCTTCTCCAACCATTATTCTTCTCACTGCCTTCTCAATGGCTTCCCTTTTTACACTGTCCCCCACTACTTTCACCCATTTCTTCACCCCCACAGGAACCCCTATTCTGGGAACTTCTGTGACTAACTTCTCATTGTAAAACTGTTCTGCAGATACCGGCCATGTCACCATTGCCACTCCTGCGCTCACTCCTTCCAACGTTGAATACCACCCACAATGTGTCACAAACCCACCTATCGATTCATGATCAAGAATCAGTACTTGCGGGGCCCATCCTCCGATGATCATACCCTTACCTTCAATCCTCTTCTCAGATCCTTCAGGTAGCCATTTCTGTCTGTCTTTTTGTTATTGTTGGTCCTCTTTGGTTCTCCTCACAACCCAGATGAAATCTTGTCCCGACGCTTCTAGACCCATTGCTATTTCTCTGAGCTGAGAGTCCGTGAAGTTTGCTATGCTGCCGAAGCAGATGTAAAGGAGTCAAGCCATTTCAAGCATTCTTGTTCATTGATGGAAGCTCGTTTCCCTCTGTTTGCCTTCCCCCCCCCCCCCAATGTTCTTATTCAGTAGCGAAACAGGGAAACAGGGCCTCTATGCCATGTTTTTCTTCCAATTAACTTTTGGTAATGATCTGCGTAGACCTTCTCCAGTTCGTAGAAGCTATTCACAATCACCCCGAAGCTTCTCCCTGCTGATTCCGTCATTTCCTTCCTTCGTCTCGCCAACTCAGAGTCGTTGTCGTCGTTCAAGATGTAGTCCGGCAAAACCATCCTGGTCAGTTTAATCTCTCCGGGAAGGTTCGGAATCACAAAGGGCTCTGATTCAGATGAAACAGTCTTATGAGGTTGATAGAGTCTTGTACACTCAGCGGCACACAGAGAGAAAGAACTAGTCCCATGAAACACAATCCTCGGAATCCCGAACTTGTCTGCAGAATCTGTCGCCCACTGGGCTTCGGCGATGATGCAATGTGGGTGGTGATGATGCAACAGTCGCTCGAAAAAATTAAAGACAGGGAGGGGATAGAGTGGACATGTTTGCAGCCTTCGGGCAGACCAACCTTGAGGAGGGGAATTTGATGGCTACGATGTTGATGTTGGAATTCGAAGGAGTAGTTTTGGATTTCCTGATGATTCTGGAAACAAGAGGGAGGTTTAATGGTGGTGTAGCCACAATGGTGGCTCTGACCCCTCTTGTAGCAAAGAGTCTGGCCATATCAAGTGTTGGTATGAAGGGGCCATGAGCAGGAAAGGGAAGGAAGAATACGTGAAGTTTGTGATTTTCACTATTCATGGCTTTTACTTTTGCACATGAGATGAGAGTAGCGAGAGACATCAGAAGTTCAAGGATGACAGAAAGTTCACAGTTTTGAAAACACAGGGGTAAGATGAAACCATTGCATGAATATATATATATATATATATATAGGCTGACGTGTCCGTGAGCTATTTGAGTTTTTCTTGAAACGTGGCTTTATTAGTAATAGCATATAATTTGATACTTCTGTCCTTAATACAAGACTCATTTAACTAATTTGATTAGATTAAAAAAGTTAGGTAAGTTAGTTAATTAAAAAAAAAGTGACACGTTTTTTCTAAAACACCATAATCATATTTCTTAATATCCCCTCTCCCTCTTCTACTTGATTATGATTGAGGGAGTATTTATAGGGATAATTTAGAGAAAATTAATAAATATGAGAAATGAATCTCATATTTAGAACTAAAACCAACTTAAAAATTAGACCTTATATTAGGGATCCGAAGAGTATTATATTTTAAGAGACTTGCGTGCATGTCGCGTCCTAGGGACAGGGAGAAAAATTAGTCAATCGGGCTACAGGAACTCGTGGAAAATTATATAATGACAACCCTGGTCACGATAATTAGAAGTTAGGTTCTTCGTATGAATTGAGGTTCACACTGTGACATACTCCTCCGGTCCTAATTATAAGATCCAATTGACTTATTTAAGGAGATTAAGGAAGTAAGTTAAGTTAGTTATTTATAATAAATAAGTGTTGTTATTCCTAAAATATCCTTGCTAATTAAGTATATAGACTAAAACTATCATTATTAGAAGGATTATCTTGGAAAAAAATGCATAAATATAAGAGAGAAAATGGATTGGGTCTTATAATTAGGACCAAATAAAAAGTCAAATTGGGTCTTATAATAAGGACCGGAGGAGTATATACATATTTCACGTGACAAATTACGAGGTTTAATCACATAAGCTATAGCTAGCTAATACAATACATTACGGATTTGACACTCAGAATACAACATGAATCATGCATATGCAAGTAAGAAATAAGAAAACAAGTTAAAAAAATCAACTTCGACGAATATTTTTACGCACAGGCCAGCTTCGTACGTAATATTTTAATTATTTGTTTTGAAGGTAAACCTAAACAAATTAAAATTTCTTAACGCGGGAGAATCATGTCAAAGAATATCATAAACATAAAAAGTTTAAGAATAAAAAAGTACATAATCTTTTAAAATTAGTTTAATATTGTCTTTTCCGAACGATTTGTTTTCACTTTTCACCACCTAATTCCTTTTTTCCCCCCTCAAAAATTAGATGGGGGTTAAACTAGTCTTTTGGGGCTTTGAATCCATCATTTTCTCATATAAGGGGATCACTTTAGTTTGTCGACAATGCACTCAAATGTACCTAATATTAACTCTATAAATTATTTTATCCAAAATAAACTCTACTCCCTCTATCCTTTATTATAAGATCTTTTTAACTAAATTGTGTGATTTAAGAAAACAGTTAAAATTAATTAAAAGCAATTAATAGGTAGCAAATATAATTTTTTCTAAATATACCCTATATACAAATAGGTAAATGTGAGAGAGTAATAATGAGATAAATGAAGAAAGAAAATAGATTAAATGCATTGCATTAGGGGTGAAATAGGTAATAATATATTAAATACTTAGACAAACTCTAAAAGGATCTTATAAAAAGGATAAACCCATTCAAAAAATTGAATCTTATAACAAGAGACAGAGTAGTATACGTTATAAAATCGCACCAGTTCTAAAGGCTTACCAGACCCGTCCTTAACAACTACAAGAACCCCAACTCTTAGCATCTCGGTCACTACTTTATATTGAGCAATGCTCTAACAATATTTTATGGCCACCCATCATCACGAAAATGCATAAGGAGAAGAGTAGTCAAGATCAATTACGAACTTAAAATTATGGTTATTATATAAGCTACCAAATACCCATATTATATATATTTATATGCCAAAATCGATATTTATAGATTCAAAATCATGGTTATCTCATAATTAGCTGCCAAACACTCCTTATACATTCCAAATTAAAATCAATTATGAACCATACGTTGTGGTTATCTTATCAGCTATTAATACCTCCTTCCCAATTATACTTTCCTAAGGATTTATCCAAACACCCTATTTTCAAATGCATGCTTATAAATCAGTTTAATAATTATGTCTTGCTCTAACACTAATCCAAATGCATAAGAAGCATGTGAGGCCGGCCGCTTCATAATTGATGGTCTTATTATTAATTT